GCCAGTCGCACACTGCTCCGGTGCCCTGACACATACAGAGGTGCGCACATGATGCCGACTTCAATTGTTCTGATTTTATTCGTTGGATTGCGTATAATTTTCACAGCCATCTACGTCAACGAGCAATTGAAAAGTTAAAAAACGGCTGCAATTCTCTCATTTTTCAAAATAACAATACCGAATATTATATCTTTGGAAAGCATAAAAAAGACATTTTTTTCTAGCTCATAGGTAACCATGGCTTACATTTAAAAAACTTGAAATTTATATTATAACTTGAAAACGAAAGTGTACACGAACAATTTGATTACACTGTCTTATTAACACTGCAAAAGCCTGAAACTTTGTAATTTAATTTTTTTTGTAAAATAAATAGCAACGGAGCTACACGCACTCGAAAGAATTCGGATTTTTCCAAATATCTAGTCAGCCATGACGTTTATTTGAAAAATGAAAGTAACATTTAATATATTTAATCATAAAACTGCACATCTTTCCTTATTTAAGCTTTTTTATATCTCTGCTATTTTCCCAGATCCCTACACTAAACATCGAAAAATACTCACCCTGTATAATAAAATTTTGATAAAATAATATACTGGACTAATATGTTGCAAAAATTGTGGATCTTCTTGGTAACGCACTAACATCGTTTCACAAAATTGTACACGTTGCACGGCGTCACCCGGATGAAGAGCAGAAAGTAGCTTTTTGTATGGATGCATATCATTAGTTCTTAGCATCCTGTGAACCCGATATCCCAAATTTTCAAAATTCAAATCGAAGTAGTCTCTGAAACAATTCTTATGGACCGTCACCGTGAGACACCCTGTATGTATCTAGTTCCTGGAAGTTACGTAAAGAAAAACAACTCTGGAACCGTCGCTTTGCGGAAAGGATTTTATGAAAAATAGTTTTGCGTTCTGCGGATGCTTCACCGCTTTTGGAATCCATGCGGTGAAAGGGAGCCCGCGTTATGCCTCAAAAACCCGGTATTGATAGATCCCAATATTAATTTCTCCATTTCATCTGCACATACCGGCATCACAAAGAGTTACAGGACCGAGCTTTAAATTGTAATTCAACTTTGGAACTTATTAACGTCAAAAACACGCATCGTGCATTCGCCGACGAGTCACATTATCATGAAATATTTGAAGGGGCATAAACAAAAAGGGATTCAAGATGAAAGACAGACTGGTGTGCACTGAGAACATTTCAAGAGAAGTTTTCGGTACATATGAACGTGTTTTATTTCATCCAGCATCTGGCAACATTTTTTATTTGAGTGTTTCCTTCAATTTGTAGATATTGAAGATGATATTTCATTACAGCGACTCAAAAACAGCGTAAAAGGAGACGGCCCTAAAGCCCGATCTAACTTAAAAATTTTAACTCGATAATCGAAAAGTTTAAAACTATGAAAATCCATTAGAATTATACCCTCTCCGAGGAAAAAACTCTCCCTCAGCCGTCAATCGTGACTCGGGAATTAATGGACCTTTTTAACATTTACGGAGTGGAACGCAGTATACGAACCTGTTTGCCTGTATGAGCTTTCACTTGTTTGCTGATATTCCATTAAAACTCGTGCTACATTTATTACATACCAAATTACACGCATTAGCAAAGGAGTTTACACAATAAGCTGTAAATGCACGGTGTGTAAAATTAAGCGTTTGACTTTGACAACGATTAAAATTTACAGAAGAAAGTGCAATAAAGTTCTGTTATCGGGACTACTGCAACAATTCACCGAGGCCGTGGCATGCCTTGAAACTATCCGCCAATGTCTTTCTACCTCGGGTGTCGAATGCGGTTAATTCCTCGAAAGTGACGCAGCGGTCTTCTTGGAACCCTATCTCAACAAATATCGTACGGACTGTATAATCATGACTTAAGTATCTTACAAACGAGGAAACATAAATAATACATTTTACAATAAATAATATATTAAATTTTATCTGTTCTAATAATACCGGACAATGAAAAAATGAATTAAAATGGACACACCACAATGTACCAAATAAGTTGAATTTCATATGACAGCATATTCAAGTCGTGATCTTACAAACGCATGAAACAAAATCTTGTATGTGTTAATTGGGCCAATCCTTGTGCACTTCTTATTATGGACCCAATTTTTTATTACTCTTGTATTATAGTGTTACTATGCTCCATAAAATTAAAATTGTTATCCAAGATCTTTAAAAAATTAAGGATGAGAATAATACCTGATATTAAAAACGAGATTCTTATTTCTTACTTTGCTTACTTTTTAAGTTTGTGCACAAACTAGTTTTACAATGAACCGGGGAAAACAATGCATTTACTATTTCCGAACGTGTCGATATGGTGTTAATGTATGGTGCAGCCGGAGAAAATGCGCTCGCGGCGACTAGGTTGTACCGGAAAAAATGTGCCCATTTTTCGTCACCCTCCATGTGCAAATCCAATCCTACAGTGTGTTCAGCGGCTACGAGATACGGGAAGTGTTATTACTCGAGGAGAAGGACGTGGTCAGCAAGTGAACCTTAATGTTGAAGATGCAGTGTTGGAAAATCTTGACGAAGACCCCACAATTAGTACTCGAAGACTCGCACAGCAAGCAGGAACCTCATCTCGTGCTAGCTGTTGAACCAGAATTTATTTTCTTAAATAAATATTAAAAGAAACCAGTCTGTTTCAATATTATTTCACCTTCTACTTTTTTAATTACTTAAAAAACTAATGCATATATGTAGGTATTAACACAGATTTTATTTCTCTCGAATTTATTACTAGGACTACCAATTTTAAGGATTTTTTACGAATTTGTAATTTTAGATTGTAACTATAGACTTGTCAAAGGTCATTAAATAAATAGGGTCACTAGGGTCAAGCACAGTTATTTTGCTTATATATTTAGATATACACTGTGTCCAAAATGATGAGACAAAATTCATATTTTATTTTTCCAGTTCAGACTTTAAAAAATCAAGAAACAGGTCAATTAGTAAATAGAAATTGTCACTTTTCTTTACCAACATTTTTTTTTAATAGGACGTTCTATATTTTACAGTATAAATAGATAGCCCTTCTAATGACGAATTCAGCGATATAAGGCTATACCAACTTTTTTGTACGTTTGTTAAAGTACAGAAGAGACTATGATTGTTTGAAATAGTCGTCAGTATGACAAAAGATATTTTTTTACATTTTTTCTGTCATAATGTCAAAAACATATAAAAAATTGTCTTTTATGTCCTACTGATGACTATTTCAAATAGTCATAGTCTCTTCTGTACTTTAAAAAACATACCTACTCTTTATTAATCTTACTTTAAGGAGGTATTTCTTGGTCCGAGGGAAGTGAGGAGCGCAGGGGGGGTCATATGCTTCTCTTATGGGACTAAAGCCCGCTGCCAATTTGAAAAAAATTAATTCTATTGAAATTATTTGCGATAAACATTATCTATATAGCAAAGAAATCTACTCATATGCAAATAGCATATATATTGACTAATTAACAACATAAAAATATCATATTTAAGTAGTTTTAAATTATATTTAATGAACGCATAAAGACTATGTAGATGTGGCAACAGCGCTAATAATTGACTAGGATTTGTACACATTGCGAACCTACAGACCTCGGACATCGGAGATATTGCGCGTCAAATTCAGGTAAAGATGCGTACGCGTTCAAAAATGTATTGTATGTAAACTATGTACAATATAATTATTATATATAGCAAATATATCGTATTATCCTCGCGAAGAATTGTATCCTTTATTTAAAATCCGTAAATCATGTGAACTGATAAAACAACGAGAATTATGTTAATTTAGTTCTAAAGAAATGAAATGACACTCGCGCCCATCTCTCGTCCAAGTCAAAGAAAATGTTGGATGCAATTTTGAAGGTTCTGTGATAGAAATTACATTATTATTCACTGTTCGTGTTTTTAATCTCTATTTTAGTAATGTTATAAAAGTTTTGCAACTATAACTAATTTTTTAGATATAAAGTTTGCTGAGAAATATTTATGTTCCTTCGTTATTCTGCACAAATACTAATTATATTAATCAAGTAAAGAAAACTTTATGTAACCCTAAATATTGCTAGGTAATGATTACGATGTTTTTATAAACCATTAAATATATTAAAAGGATTTATCAACTGTATTTTTTATTCCAATAAATATATCACAGCTTCCTAGTATTTTTTAATTAATCTAGTTTTTTAAAAACATTACAAAAAATCATCTGTTGTAGATAATTTATCGTTGATAACAATGTACATGGGATTTAGGAAAAATGTATATGTTTGAAATGAATTTCGTTTTTATCAAGTCTTTCAAATGTATTCCCTCCTTGCTGTCAGCCGATTGCGACGTTGCCACATTAATCCTCAAGTCAGACAGAAATTCAATTATTTGTTTCTGTTTCTAATTAATACAGCTGTACTATGTTCAAAACTTACATTAATTTTACATTAAAAATAAGATAATACCGTGTACTATCTATGGAAAAGTTTTGTTTCACAATTTCTACATTTTTTCTCAGTTATGGGCAAAAAACGAGCAGTACCGTCCATCTTCGCCATATAAACCTATGTTAAAATGAACAATATCTTAAAATCTAGATTCAAAAAAAAAAATCAAAAAAATATGACGCACTGGGTAATACGCTATATAAATTTCAAGTACATCTGTGCATTTGAGTAAACCCGATATACCTCCTTAAACGGCTAAAATTTAGACAATTCACTACTTTAGATTCCATTTTCCGGAGCTGTATTATGATCGATATAAAACGTCTACAAAAAATTATTCAGGTCACAATCGGGCCGTCCTGGTGCAGTGGCTTCCATTCGAGCGCCTTATTGTTAGCCTTTGACCTTAGGGACACGTTAGAGTTAGCACCCGTCTCCAGATAGTGCGAAACCGCAATTATAACTAATATATTTGTTCCAGGGTGCGGGTGAATGAGAGTCGGCGGGAAGTGGATTGGCGGGCATGTTCACGTGGCTGCTGGTCTACTCCCTGTCCCTGATAGTGTCCGCGGGCGTGCAGCTGGACCAGCAAGTGGCCGTCAGCGTCCCCGGAGATATTATCCTTGGCGGATTGTTCCCCGTTCACACGAAAGGGGATCGATCGCCATGCGGTTCCCAGATCTACCACCGCGGCGTCCAACGGCTCGAGGCGATGATGTACGCCGTCGACACAATCAACAAGAACCCCAACATCCTGCCGAACGTCTCGCTCGGCGTTCACATACTCGACACCTGCTCTCGCGACACCTACGCGCTGAACCAGAGCCTTCAGTTCGTCAGGGCGTCCCTGAACAACATCGACACATCCGCGTACGAATGCCCCGACCATTCCGTACCCCGACCACGGAACAACCTCTCCGGGCCAGTCTTCGGGGTGGTGGGGGGCTCGTACAGTTCGGTATCCCTGCAGGTGGCCAATCTACTTGGGCTATTCCACATACCGCAGATATCGCCGGCCTCAACGGCCAAAGCTCTCAGCGACAAGTCACGGTTTAAGTACTTCGCGCGGACGGTTCCTCCAGATACTTTCCAATCCAGCGCTCTGGTGGACATCGTCAAAAGCGTTAATTGGTCGTACGTATCGACCATCTACTCAGAAGGATCTTACGGGGAATATGGCATCGAGGTGTTCCACAGGGAGGCGCAGGAGAGGAACGTTTGTATCGCCACAGCCGAGAAGGTGCCCAGTGCTGCTGACGACAAGGAATTTGACAGCATCATCTTGAAACTGAAGAAGAAGATTAACGCCAAAGGCGTCGTGCTGTTCACCAGGGCTGAGGATGCAAGGTGAGTGCCGAGCTCTTCTTTCCAACTATGACAGCGTTCCTCAAAAGTCTGCATGGACTACATTTTGAGAAGCGCTGCTCTTCTGAAGTAAAATTACTTTTGAAATAAATGAAACCTGAAACCAATTTTCGCAAGACTATTGTTGGTTTTGCTTGGAACTCCTCAACAGGATCGTAGCGATTTAGTTGTACATAGCAAACGGCAAGCAAAAAATCTATTTGGTACCAGATAAAGTCTTTATCGTATGCATATTAATGCACAGAACATTAGTTGGTCCAAGTTGCTCCTGTCCAAATCTTATTCCGATGTATTTCGACGCGTTGCACACGAATCTAGCACTGGTTAAGCTTCCTGGCTCTTATTAAAAAGTATTTTGAAAAAGATCCGGAAATAATTGAACCCCAGTTTGATTTTGAATGGAAGAATCCAAACTTCAAACTACTTCCTACATTGGTAAAATACTCTTTTGTCCTCGAACGACCTGCATGGTGGGTTTCGAACTCTTCGAACTACACTCTTCAGTTTCTCATTTTCATAACCAGGTAACAAGTCCGTCATAATAATATTCCCATCCCCTTTGGTATCTTACTTCAATTTCTTTCAGATCCTGATGAAAGCATTCACCCAAGCATTCTATAATCGTAATGAAGTTTTCAGGAAAGTATTTCTGCTGAGAATCCAAGAAATGAATTTTTACATACATTAAATATCCGAAGCGATGGTTGTTTATTATGATTTCTGTATTGTAGGTCTTGCATTTGTGGTTCCCGAACAAGTTTTAAGCCATGTTGCTCTCTCAGTATACGTCATTGTTTTATGAAATACTTTTGGGATTTGAGGTTCGTCGAAGATGTATTCTTTGAATTTTGCATCAGTTAAATTAGGAAATTGACTAATTAAGTATTGGACACAATTTCCGTTTTTGTCCAAAATCTTGACAAAATTGTAAAAAAATTGAAATAAACAAAATTACGAGCCGAAAACCCCCTTCACCAACCTAAATGAGACGCATATGATTTGCATGTCAAAAAACGGAGTAGCCCATGTTATTTAACGTAAAAAGTTATGTAAGAACCATAAATTTTATTCTATTTATTTGCGACCGTTTTGTCAATAACAGAAAAAAAAACAGTTTTATTTGAGCCCTTTTAAGGGCATATAACTTCCTAAGGGTGCGTTTTAGGGCACATGTTAATAGGAACTTTTTGGCTTATTTTAATGAGTTATAAACGCAGCAGAAGTTTGGAACCCTATTTTAGAAACACCCTGTATAAAACTGTTTTCAAAATTCCACAAAAATCGGAAATAAATCTCACTATGAGTTCTTTAATTGTTAATTTACCCTGAAGATCTCAAAGATCTTTAAAAATCCACATTACTTCTGAAGCAGATAAAATATCTCATTATTTATAATCATCTATATCAGCGTTTCTCAAAATGTTTCCAATCTTGTAAATGTATTTTTTGTTTTGGTTAGAACCTTAAATCTCATAAATCCTCAACGTCCTACACGGACTACATTTTGAGAAGCACTGTTCTATTGACGCGAATTTACTTTTGAACTGGACCCAGTCTCTGATTATTTATCAGCTGTGTCAGCGTTTCATAAAATGTTTGTAATTTTTACATAAACATTGTTTAGGTAAAGTTACTTGAAAATCAGTGATTACTACTTATAGCCTGTATGTCAGCGTCCCTCAAAATATTTCCAATTTTCACAAAATCATAACTGTTTGCTTTGATTGGTACTCCTGTAAAGGTTTCCATGAATCCGCATTACGATATTTTAAAAACCATCACTCTGCGGACGTTAAATTACTCTGTTTTAGTATCCTCTATGTCAGCGTTTCTGAAAATGTTTCCAGATTTCGCAGAAAAGCGTTTTGGTTGAAATCCCTTAAGATTCCAGAGGTCCTCAAAAGTCTAGGCGAACTACACATTTCTTTTTCAAAATGTTTCCAGTTCTCATTAAAGCAGTTTTTTTGTTGGAAAGATTTTAGAGATTCTCAAAGGTCTTCAGTGGATAAAATTTCTGTTTACTTATACTCTATACATTCTTTTATTTGCTTGGAACCTCTTCAGCATGTCTCGGAGAAGCTCAAAGGTATATGCAGACTACATTTTTATAAAATTACTTTTAACACAAATAAAATATCATCCTTTATGTCTTTATGTTTAAAGATATAAACTAATTTTACTTAAAAAAAAAAAGATGAAATAATTTCAATGAGATTCCTTTAATTAGTACCTTAACTTTAGTTTTAAATAAATATATTTAGCTACATATTTTACTAAAAGAGGATTGTGTAGCTGGATTCAGAAACAGTCTGGGATTTATTTAACTCTAAAAGTGAATTTGTTTTGCTCAAGTTTCCTTACTTGAAGGATACTTTTTCTCTGGCAGATTCCCAGAGTTCATCAATTTCGAATAAAATTCATGTGTCTATTTTAGCTGCTGCTCCCGAAGTCGTCTAAAGGGCCTGAATTAGCAATAAAAAGTTCCGAAGAGAAAAAATAAATCTTCCTTTTGTACTTAAATGAATCTAAGGAACTATTTAAATAATATATCTCATATTACTTTAGAAGGGAATATAAATTTTCATATACCCGCTTGTTCAATGAATATAGTCGATTGATCTCCCAAACGGTCTGACAGAAAAAATATTTGAATTTAAAGAGAAATAAGGACAGATGGTTACATTATTTTAAAGTGCCGATTTTTCGTTAAATAACAGTGGAAAGTTTTCGTTTCACTGTTTTTAAAGAGTTACGATGGATGAATAAAAATAACAGGGATTCTTTCAGTAACTAAACGTTTCCCATTTGGAAACAACTTCGGCCATTAAGTTCTAGCCGGATTTACATATATAGTAACCGATTAGGTACTTACACAACCCGATCAATTTATGCTGCACTCGAATCCGGAAAGAAAAATTCTCCTGAATTTGGTGGCGACTTAAAAAGGCAACATTTTACCACACCTGCGAACCGTGGTAAAATTATTTCTAAATATATCTCGCTTGCGATAATCTCTACAACTACACACAAAATTATTTAGTTTTAAAACAGAGTGAGTCATAATGAAGTGTAAAAAAATTTAACCGAAATTTCTTGTCAAAAAAAAAAAAATTAGTCAAATAAACTTTTTTCCAAAATGTCTTCTTACAAAAAAAAATACTAAACAAAAGTTTATTTGAACAATTATTTTATATTAGCATGAAACTAAGGTTAAATTTTTTGCACCTAATTATGACTCGCCTGTATACTTGTCTGTATTTGTTTTGACTTTTTTTGTACTGAGATGACTCAGCAAGCCCCTTTATCGTTGTATAAATACACAAATAATGTTCGAGCGACTACTGACGATAATGTTGTGTTCCTGGTTGATAAATTAACATACCTTGCAATTTCCTGCTACTCAATTCGGCTGAAACCATACTATCTTATGATTAATTTCAATACTAAGGCTCCTGACCCCTGTGCATGGCAGTCAAATGAAAAATACTAATCAAATTATGAACACACTCAGTGCAGGGCCGTATTAACCTGTGGTGAGGCTGCAAGCTCTACGGAGGCACTTATTATTAAAAAAAAAATAGGTCACGCAAACCGACATAAAATTTAAAATCCCAACTTTCTGGTTTGATTTTGCCAGATCTTGCCGAGGCCCGGGGCTATAGTCCCCGTAGCCTCTCCCTAGATCCAGACCTGATTCAGTAGATAACTTATAGTTATTAGTCTTTTAATTAAAAATAATCGTTTTGGAGGATCAGCTAAATCCATATTTTTTTTATTAACTACAATTGTCTAGAATTGAGTTCCATTGAAAAATGTTTCAGACAAAAGTTGGATTTGACTTTGGCCTTAAGTTTCAAGGTCAGCCCAAGGTCGACTTGAAAATATTAAATGGAACTCCATATTTGGTATGCCAGCAATCTAGAACGCTAAATATGGAACCAGAAAATTTTTCTCGTATGTCCTTGAGGATTATTTGGAGGTCAAACTTATCTTTGTTTGAATAACTTAACAATTAGATGGTGACCTTGGATTTGCCCTTCACTACAAGTTGCAAGGTCAACCAGCAACGAACACAGAGCCAAATTTTATGTAGGAATCTGAAAATAAAGAATTTCCAGGAGGTCCTTGACCAGAATGTCCAGGACGTGGGTCATTTGAAGGTTAGGTTAAGTTAGGTCATTTGTCATAAAAAATAATAAGAATTTAATTTGATGGTAGGGCAATTTTGGGGACTGTTAGGTTAAATCCAAGGACACCATCTAATTGGTCACTCAAAAACCCAAAAATGCTTGAAACATTTTTGTCGAATTATTCAGAGAGAAACGAGTTTGACCTCCAAATGGCATGTAAGGACATAAAATATCTCTAAAATATCATCTAATATTTTCAAGTTGACTTATTTAACCTTGAAACTCAAGGTCAAGGTCAACCCCAAGGTCACCGCATGTTGGTTTCTTGATATTTTTTTATAGGAGTCAGTCGTGAAAAGTTCGGGTCTTTTTGGGACACCGTACTAAATTTAATTGTAATAATACAGGGCGTAAGAAGTTTGACTGCCATTATTTCAGCATGAGATAGAGTAATTATAAATGAACAAAAAAGTTGTGTATTACAGGGGCGTAAGATTAACAGTTTTCAAAATACAGCGAGTATTGGGGAGTTTCACAACGTGGCAACAGCGCTTAACCAAACGCTACACAGCTGATGCATACCACGTGTGCACGCGGCAAACTTGCTCCACGGAAAAAATGTAAACAACTATTTTGTAAATTTCAAGACAATTGTTTTCCAATTTTTAAATAAATAAAATGTATCGATTTTGTAGTACGAAAATAGTGTTGTGCCTAAATTTTAGCTCGAATTATGAATCTCTTAAAACAGGAACGTAACTTTTAATTAAATTATGAATTTAAAAAATATGTAATTAAAGTACCCAAAGATTCACGTCATCCACATAATCATACGTATTAAAAATAATTTAG